AAGAGCCTTCACTCTATAAAAGCTTAGGCTTCAATACCCACATCAATTTGGAACACATTGTTTCATTTGTTCCAAGCACAGGACTGAAGAGAAAGGCATTGACCTGTTGGCCTGTGCTTTTCTCAGTCAATGTCTCTACTTCCATGATGTGGGTTTATGAGACAGGGTCTCATGTAGATCAGGTTGGCCTCTAACTCGCTACATATCAAAGGATGATCCTGAATTGTTCATTCTCCTGCCTCCACCTCCCATGGGCCTCCCGTGTGCGGGGATTACAGATACGCACCAGCATGCTAGGCTCGTGATGTGGTTCTTAGTCTGACAGTTTCACCAAATAAAACAGCTGAGAGTCCCCACTGAACAAGTGATATGACAGAACTGCAAGGGGAGCTCAGGCAACTTCACCTTTGACGTAGATCACAGTGGTGATGTTTTCTGGATCCATTATGCAGATTGAACGATCCACATCCAAGGCTGAGACTACGTATTTTCCATCAGGAGAGAACTTACAGGACACTACAAAGGTATCGTGCCTGACCTTCCACTGAAATGAGGCAACATCAAAAGATTATTTTCTCAGCCAGGTGTGGTGGCTGGCACATGCCTGTAATCTCAGCACTCAGGAAGCAGAGCCTTGAAGGGTCATACGTTTGAAGCCAGCCTGGTCTACAGAGTAAGTTCCAGGCAAGCCTGGACTATAGATGACACCTTGTCATCTAAAAATGTTGTTCACCCTCTTCACCCTCTCTCTCACTGGGCTGCCAGCAGAGCCCGCAGCAATGATGAAAGTGCTGTGTCCACAATCATCCAATATGGCCCCAGAAGCCTTGTACTGAGCTAGAGGTATAAAGGAAGAACTGAATTTTTAAGTTTGCTTAATTAACTAATGTAATGACTTGATCTGTGTCCAGGACAGAACACCTAGAAAAACAGCAGCAAAGTTTTAGTAATGGCCAACTTGACTCCTTGTTCAGTCAAATGCACAGGTGTTGATGGAATGTCTGTTCTGAGCCTGCCATTATGGATAAAATACAAGGGCCACAACCCCTTGGAGTCCCCTGGGCACAAGAAGAGGACAATGTACTGTTCAACAATCTCCAGCTTTAAACTATGTCCTTAGATTCTTGGATAGTTCTTCCTCTCACAAGGAGAGCCAAGCTGCCCACTTACATGTGACCAGACTCAGAACGTACTTCTAATGGATAGAATATACAGAAGTGGGCCTGGTGAGATGGCTCAGAGGTTAAGAGCACTGACTGCTCTTGCAGAGGACCGGGTTCAGTTCCCAGCATCCACATGGTGGCTAACAACTATCCATAACTCCAGTTCCAGGGGACCTGATGCCCTCTTCTGTCCTCCATGGGTACTGCACACATGAGTGTATTTACATAAATGCAAGCAAAACACTCACATGCATAAAACAAAAATAAATTTAAAATCTTTTTTTAAAAAGATGGCAGAAGTGATAATGTGGGACTAGGATATGAAAGAAATCATAGAAGCCAGATGTGGTGGTACACACCTGTAATCCCTGCAGTTGGGGGGCTGAGGCAGGAGAACAGCAGATTCAAGGCCACTTTGGGCCATATAGTGAGACTCAAAAGAGAAATGGGCTGGGCATGGTGATAGGTGACTTTAATCCCAACACTCTGGAGGCAGAGGCAGGCTGATCTCTGTGAGACCCTGTCTCAAAAAGAGAGAGAAATGAGGGGCAGAGAGGGAGAAAAAAGGGAAGAAGGGGGGGAAGAAAAGAAGGAAGAAGAGAGAGAGAAATCAGAACTGAGATGTATGTCGTTTAGTGGTGGAGAGGGTGTTTAGCACTTCAAGGCCCTGGGTTAAATCCCCAGCATCCAAAAATTTAAAAATGAAAATTAAAGCAGCACATGGTAGGCGAGGCAGAAGGATTTTGAGCTCAAGTTAAGCCTTGGCTACATAGCAAATTCAAGACCAACCTGAGTATCAAAACAAACAAAGGGATAAAGGAAAGAAATCTGTGACTTGATCTTTGTTCTTTCTTGGATCAGATGCTCCATAAGAATTAACTATCATGTCCTAAGGACACATACACACAGCCCTACGTTGCCCTGGGGGTTCACAAAGAGATGAACAGAGGCATCTAGCCAACAGCCTTGGGAGTGGGCCACCTTGGAAGGGAACCCTTCCACCCCACTGGAGCCCTAATTTGACTGTAGCCCCAGATGACATCTTCACTATGACTTCACAAGAGAGTGGAGCCAGAACCACCCTTTAAGATGTTTCTAGATTTCCGGAAACTGCATGAGATAAAAATGTTGGATGCTTGAAGTTACCAAGCTTGGGAGCCATTTGTCAAGCAGCCTTAGTCACTAAGTCAGCTCTGTCACTGTCCAGGGACACAAGTGACTTGTGCAACAAAAATAAATAAAAAGACTTTCAAAAAAAAAAAAGAAAAGCATTTGAAATAGAAAAACTGGCCAGAGACAAGACTAGGAAAATTGCAACAGAGGAAGTAAACATTTGGGGAAATGTTCAAAGTCAAGAATAGTCAGTCCAAGTCTCACTCTGTACCTACCACGTGATACCTGGCATGTGAGGGTGAGGGACAATGTCTCCTTCTTGAACACCCGTCTACAAGTCTGTGCAGCTTTCTGGAAAGATCTTATAAAGCTATTTCTAAATTGCTTATATTAGCAATGAAATCTAGCTATATACTCTAAAGGAATATTGAAGTTGATCTATGAAAAACTGTATTCAGAAGCTGGGTGTGGTGGTGTATGCCTTTAATCTCAGCACTGAGGAAGTGGAGGCAGGTGGATCTCTGTGAGATGGAGCCCACTCTGGTGTCCGTAACAAGTCCAGACCAGGGAAACTCTGTCTCAAAAAGACCATATATATATATATGATTTTAGCCAGGCATGGTGGTGTACACCTAGAGAGATACTATACTACACATACATACAATACTATGTATAGATATACATTCAGGACTAAAGAGATGGCTTAGCAGTTAGGAGCACTTGCTGCACTTTTAGAGGACAGAGGTTTAGTTCCAAGCACCTACATTAGGCAGCTCACAAACACCTGTTATTCCGGTTCCAGGGGATATGATGCCCTCTTCTGGTCTCCTTGGGCACCTGCACACATGTGGCACACACGTGCACATGCAGAGTTAGGGAGATGGCTCAGTAGGTAAAGCACTTGCCACACAAGTGTGAGGACTACGTAGGGGCTGGAGAAATGGCTCAGCAGTTAAGAGCACTGGCTGCTCTTGCAGAGGACCAGGGTTCAGTTCCCAGCACCCACACACTGGCTAACAACCATCTATAACTATAGTTCCAGGGGAATCCTAAGCCCTCTTTTGACCTCCACAGGTACCGCACGACACAGGTGCATTTATATACATGTAGGCAGTACACTCATACACATAAAATAAAAATAATGAACAAACTATTTAAGAAAAACAAGTGGGAGGACCAGAGTTTGAATCCCCAGAACCCACGTAAAAGCCAGACACGGTAGCATGCATCTGTAATTTTAGTATTCCAATGGGAAGATGGGGAGGCAGTGACAGGAGACTCCAGCTAGCTTGACATATGCAGTAAGGAAAGAAAAGAGGGAAAGGCCCTGTGTCAAAGAAGATAGAAAAAAGACAAACAACCATGGTTTTCCTCTGACCTCCACAGGTGGACCAGGGCATGCACGTGCCTACATATACACATAAATGTGCACATGTACATGTATATACACACATATACACACAAGCACGCAACAATTTAAAATTATATATATATAATTATATGTGCTCTTATCAGAGTATTACTTGTTATAATGGAAAAAAATTCAGCTGAGTCAGCAAGATGGCTCAGCAGGTAAAGGGGCTTGTGGCCAAGCCCTATGACCAGAGTCCACGTGGAGGAAGGAGAGAACCAATTCCTGCAAGATATCCTCTGACCTTCACACAGGCCATGGTGCATGCATGCATACATACACACACACACACACACACACACACACACACGCACTCATGCACACAAGCTAACAAGTAAACAAATACATGCAAAAATAAAAATAAACGGTTTCAATGGCCTATAACAGGGAACAGTGAAATAGAACTTAACCTATTCATATTATGAGTGAAATCCTGCAAATTCATTAAAAAGAATGACATAACTCAGGTGGTGGTGCACACCCGTAATCCCAGCCCTCCGGAGGCTGGGGCAAGAGGGTCAGGAGTTCTAGGCCTGCTTGAGCTGCATAGCAAGACCTTGTCTCAAAAATTAAAAATTGGGGCTGGGGAGATGGCTGAGCCATTAAGAGCACTGGCTGTCCTTGCAGAAGACCTGAGTTCGAATCCCAGCACCCACATGACAACTAACAACCGTCCATAACTCCAGTTCCAGGGGATCTGATACCCTCTTCTGTCCTCCACAAGTACAGCACAACCCAGATGTATTTACATACATGTAAGCATAACACTCATACACATAAAATAAAAATAAATTTTAAAAAATTTAATTACAAATTGCCTATGATCATAAGCAAATGTGTACAGGAAAAGAATCAGAAAGATGTTAAGTATAATCTGTGAGTGATGGTTTTAAGGATTTGTCTGCTGGTTTTTAAACTCCTTTCTAAAAGTGTTTACAATGAGGGACTGGAGAGATGGCTCAGCAGTTAAGAGCACTGTCTGCTCTTGCAGAAGGCCCAGGTTTGGTTCCCAGCATCCACATGGTAGCTAACAACCATCAGTAACTTCCGTTCCAAGGAATCCAACACCCTTTTCTGGCCTCTGTAGGCACTGCACACACATGGTGTATTTATATCTATGCAGGCAAACCACTCATACACATAAAATAAAAATAAATTTTTAAATGTTTACAATGAGTATATTAACTTTTGTACTAAAAAGAAAAGTCAGAGATTTGTTTGCTTTTTTTTTTTTTTTTTTTTGTGTTTTTTTGAGAGAGGATGTCCCTGTAGCCCCAGCTGTCCTGGAACTCACTATGTAGACCAGGCTGGCCTTGAACTCACAGAGATCCGCCTGCCTCTGCCTCCCAAGTGCTGGGATTAAAGGCGTGCGCCACCATGCCCAGCCTGTTGTTTGCTTTTTTGAGACAAGGTCTCACTGTATAGTCCAGGCTGGCCTGGAATGCACACTCCTCTTGTCTTAGCCTTCCCAGTGCTGGGAATGCAGGTGCACACCACTACACCAGATTAGAAAGGTGGTTTTAAAGGAAAGAAGAAGAAAGAGGGGAGCCGGTGAGAGCTGCTGAGGGAGGGTAGCAGGGGAAGGCTTGGTAGGGGTTGGGACAGGAGGTGCCATGGAGCCCCTGTGCAGATCTGAGGCTGCCCAGGCTTAGCAGAAGCAGAGGTAAAAGACCTCAGGCCTGTTTAGAGGCATGGCCCCATCAGAGACAGAGGGAGAACAGATTGGGAAAGCTCTGGTTCTTTGGCCATACAGCCTTTGTCCCATGACCTTAGCCCCACTTCCTGCTTCATTAAGTCCAAACAGCCCACACGGGAGCCTGGCGTGCCATGGTTGACCAACCCCACTCTCGGCCTCCTGTGGTAGGAGCCTTTCTTCCCCCATGCCCACCCTCCTCAGATATACCCTCTAACTCTCTTCCTGGAAGACCGGGGCTTTTGTCATTGTCCCCGACCCACAGTCCAGCCCAAAGCTACCAAATCCCAGTCACAATCCTGTGCTGTGACACACTCACAAGGCAGGGCATACTTACCAGCATCTGGCCTGTCTCAACGTCCCAAGCCCTCACTGATTTATCATAGGCTGATGCAACGATCCTGGAGATAAATAACAAACATTGCATCTAAAAAACAGGGACACTGAGGCCTGTGGTTTACATAAGGGCCCTTTGTCTTGTTCATAATTTAGGACCAAGGTTGTAAATAATACAATAATCTTTCCAAAGATGCTCCGGAAGCCCCAGTGGGGGGTGTGTGTTCCCAGTGAAAACAGTATCTAATAGCAACAAAGATGTTAACTGCATCATCATCTTTCTTACTCTTCAGAAACTCAAACATGGACTTCTATTAAATATAGAAAAATAGAAGAATATATTAAAAGCAGAATTTCTAAAATAAAAATAGAACTTCTGTGATATGCCGTCTCCTTTTTTATTTTGTTTTCATTTTGTTTTGTTGAATCAGGATTTCATTATGTGGTCTTGATGGGCCCGGAACTCTCTATGTACATCAGGCCAGCCTCCAACTCACAGAGATCTGCCTTCCACTGCCTCTGCCTCTGCTCTGCCTCCCAAGTGCTGGGCTGAAAGGCGTGTGCCACCATGCCCCACCTCACTGTCTTCTTCTACGGTGATCTCTACAACTGACAAGGATCACACCTTTCTGTCTCTGCTCACATCTGTCTTTTTATGTCCAGAATGCCTTCCTGGACAGCTCAATTTGTTCTGAAATGCTTCCTCATACATTTAAAGACATCTACATAAACGCACTGCTGTGGTTTGGATGTGAGGTGTGCCCCCAGGAGGTTCATGTGTTGAAGGCCTGGTCTCTAACGGATGGTGCTGCTGAGAGTGAGATGGATCATGAAGGTTCTGTCTTTACCCATGGTTCAACCCAGCAATGGATTCATATTTTGATGGCATTATTGGGAGGTGGTAGAAATGAGGATGTGGGACAGTTGGAAAGGTAACCACTTGAGGTATGTCTCTGAAGGGTATATCTTGTTCCTGGCTTCTTTCTCTGTCTCTCTGCTTCCCTGCTGCCATGAAGTGAGCAGCTTGACTCTACCATGCCCCTCTGCTGTGATGCTCTGCCTCACCACAGGCCCAGAAACAGTGCTCCCAGCCAGCCATGAAGTGTAACCTATAAAACCACAAGCCAGAATCCTTCCTCCTTTACTCTGTTTACTGCAGTGACAGAAATTCTGACTGACACATGTACCTTCGTCTGCTCATATGTCTAACTTTGTCCTTTGTACAAAGTAAATTCCCATGAAACCCCAGTCTCACACCTGTTCTTAATTTGTACTTGAGAACCTCCAATCTGGATCATTTAATCCACTTTAAAGCAAATTCCTTTGTTAAAGGCCCACCTCCACTCTGTGTAAATGGATTTAAGCAAACTCAGCCTGAAGTCCCTTCCCTTGGGTGTCCTGCCTCCCAAATCTGAACCTTCCCAGGTGGCAACTTGGGTACCCCCATGCTTTCTAGTTTCCTTGGAAAATGAGGGCCCGGATTTCATCACTAAGGTCCACTCCACTGCAGGAGCCACAGGCTATATGTGACTGTGGAAAAGACACTTTGTGAGGAAAACTCAAGCCAGGTTTAGTGGCTCATGTCCAAAATCCCAGCACTTGGGGGTGAGGGTAAGGCAGGAGGATTGCTGCAAGTTCAAGGCATCCTGACCTACTTAATGAGTTACGAGGTCTACAGAATGAGACCCTGGGAAGGGGGGGTTGGGAAGGAGGGGAGAGGAGGAAGAGGAGGAAGAGGAAGAAGAGGGAAGGGGGAAGGAGGAGGGGAGGGGAGGGGAGAAAAGGGAACCAAAAAAAGGAAAATTCAGACTGGCTATTAACTATAGTAAGTGCTCTGTTGTTATATCCACCAGTTGATTCTCAGAGCATATGGAAACACTGAGATCCCTATAGGGGAATGAGGTTGCATATTTTCTTAAAACAAACAAACAACCTGGGGGCTGGAGAGATAGCTCAGCACTTAAGAGCATTGGCTGCTCTTGCAGAGGACCTGGGTTTGATTCCCAGCACCCACATGGCAGCCAACAAACATTTGTAATTCCAGTTCCGGGGAAATATGACACCCTCTTCTGACCTCTGCAGGTATTGCATGACATGGGTGCACTTACATACATGCATGCACTATACTCATACACATAAAGTAAAAATAAATAAGTCAAAAAAATTTTTTTATATTTAAAAAACAAAGCTGGGTGTGGTGGTGCACACCTTTAATCCCAGCACTGGGGAGGCAGAGGCAAGCAGATCTCTGTGAGTTCAAGGCCAGCCTGGTCTACATAGTAAGTTCCATGACAGCTGGAGCTACAGGGAGACCCTGTCTCAAAAAGATTAAAAAAAAAAAAAAAACTAAACACCAAAAGCCCTGTCGCTGTCATGTATATACAATGGTCGGCTATTGACCCTCACTTTTCCCAACCAGTGTGAAACAGAGGAAATGTCACCTTCTGCTGTCAGCTGTGATACTGCACTCTGAAACAGGAGCTTTGGGTTGTGGCTCAAAATTCCGAACAACAAATCCATCAGCAGCATCCTCAAATCAATGGGGGACAGAGGAGAGAGAGCAGTCACGGCTGTATGCACAAGTCTTGAACTCAGGTCAGCAGTAACCCCTAGATTGCCTACATCAACAAAGTTCTAGAACCCCCAAAGCCTACAACTCACTCAGTGAATAAAATATTACCCAATATCCCAAGCAGGAAGGATGCCCATCATCCACAGCATCTTGAAGAAATTCCCCCACAGTTCCACAGGCACTGGATGGACCCTGGTCTCTGTGGGAGCAGACTCACGATAATTTTCTCATTCTCTTCTAGCCAAAGAGGCTTTTCAAAATCCGGCAATATTCCCAAGGAATTTTCCAAAAACATAATTCCATACCCTTTGATCCAGTAATTCTACTCTGAAGGGTCCCCTCCTGAGGCAATAACCACATCTGTGGTCGGAGACTTATGCATACCAGGTAGGTGGCTCAGCTGGTAGAGGTGCTTGCTGCCAAGTCTGATGATCTGAGTCAGACTCATACGGTGAAATGAGAGAACTGATTCCTGCAAATTATCCTCTAATCGCCACACGTGTGCTGTGGCACATGTGCACTTGCACACACATGTGCACACACAAAAATAAATTAAATAAATAAATAGGCTAGAGAGATGGCTCAGTGGTTAAGAACACTGGTTGTTCTAGCAGAAGACCTGGACTCGAATGCCAGCACCCACATGGCAGCTAACAGTGTCTGTAACTCCAGTCCCAGGGGATCTGACAGCCTCTTCTGACCTCCACAGGCATTTCACAATACAGGTGCATTTATCTACATGCAGGCAATACACACATACACTTAAAATAAAAATAATAAATAAAATTTAAAAATAAATAAATAAATGTAATTTTAAAAATTCTAGGGCTAGCACTTGGGAGGCTGAGGCAAGAAGACTATGGCTTCTTCTGAGGCCAGCTTGGGCTACAGAGTAAGTGCTTGTTTCAGAAAACCAAGAGCTGTGGATGTAGCTCAGTGGAAGATTATTTACCTATTATGTGCAAGGACATGGATTCAGTTCCCAACATCTCCCACCTAAAAATTCACCAGCATTACAGAGGAGACATTATAGGAAGACACCAGCAACTGCTAATACTGATGCTGGGTTAGTAATGACAGAATGTGGTGATAATAAAGTGGGGTACCAAAGTCGAAGGGTGTCTGTGACAGCAAAGGTAAAATATGTTTACTAAGAAATGTGGGTGCTGGAAAAATGGCTCGGCATTTAAGAGCACTGGCTGCTCTTCCAGAGGACCTGGGTTCTGTTCCCAGCATCCACATGGTGGCTAACAACTGTCCATAACTCCAATTGCAGGGATCTGGCCTCTTCTGGCTGCTGTGGGAATTGCATACACAGGTGCACTTACATACATGCAGACAAAACACATATACACATAAAATAAGAATAAACAAAAAAATTTTAATGTGCCGATAGCTTTTCAGGCTAAGCAGCAGGGGAAATCCCCTTGACACAGAAGTTATGTGATGAGACAATGACTTCCTAGAAAGGTATTAAACTGCTATGTAAAATCATGGCACAAGTGTTACAGTTTTGACACAAAGCATCCCCAAAATGAAAGCTTGTTCTCCAGCAGGGGGATCCAATCATGGAAAGGTGGCTGGATCATGCAGGCTCTGACCTAATCATTTCATCAATGGATTCATACTTTAAAAAAAATTTTAGTAAAAAAAATTTTAGTTATTATTTTTATTTTATGTGTATGAGTATATTGGCTGCATGTAAGTGAGTGCACCCATGTTGTGCAATGCCATGGAGGTCAGAAGAGGGCTTTGGATTCCCCTGGAACTGGAGTTAAGAACGGTTCGCAGCTGCCATGTGGGTGCTGGGAATCGAACCCAGGTCCTCTGCAAGAGCAGTCAGTGGTCTTAACCTCTGAGCCATCTCTCCAGCCCTGGATTCATACTTTTTAAAACAGTGTGTGTGTGTGTGTGTGTGTGTGTGTGTGTGTGTGTGTGTATGTATACATGTATGTGCCTGAATGAGTTTATATGCACCATATGCATGTAAGTACCCAAAGAGGTCAGAAGAAATCAGATCCTTTGGAACTGGAGTTATAGGCAGTTGTGAGCTGCTATGTGAGTGCTGGGAACTGAACTTGGGTTCTCTGCAAGAGTAGTAAGCACTCTTAACCACTGAGCCATCTCTTCAGCCCCTGGATTCATAATTGAATGAACTATGGAATGTGGAAACTGTCAAAGATGGGACCTGATTGGAAGGCTGTGTCCTGTCCCCAACCTCTTCCTCAGTCTGTTTCTGCTTCCTGGCTGCTACAAGGTGAGCAGCTCTGCTCCATCACACCTTCTACCATGATATTTCTGCTATGCTGCAAACCAAAGCAAGGGAACCAGCCAACCATGAACCTCTGAAACTATGAGCCCAAAGAATCCATTTTTTTTTAAGTCGTTTTTCTCAAGACAGTCTATCATGGTAATACAGGCTGAGTACCAGAAGGGTGTGGGAACTGTTCAGCCTGACGAAGGCAGGTTGTGACACCATCCACCTGACAGTCAAAGACCCCAGAGTCTTCTAGAGACAAAGGACCCTATGTCAAGTGTCCCCAGGACCCTCCCCACAGGTGTGGTGACTAACTGCACTCCTCTATACCCATAGCCTTAGTGAAGAGCTAGTCTAGGGAACACAAAGCCAAACTGGCAAAGGACAAGATCCTGGGGACAAAGTCCAGAGGAATCCATGCACAGATGTTCACCAGTCCTCTCATGAAGGAGCTTGCTGTTCAGCTCCTCCAGCAATGAACTACAGCGATGCATTTAAATGGCTGTTTACCAGAAAGCTGTGTCAGAGCCCAGATGTTGAGGGTTTGTGACAGGGGGGCATGGGTCACATGGGCGTTCTACCTAATACACACCCCAATTCCAGGAAAGCAGTTTGTGCAAGTAGTGAAGGTGTGGTGAGCCACCTTTAACTGTTCACCAGCCTAGTTCACAGACACAAGCCAAGTGCAGGCTTACCAGAAGCTTTTATAAACCTGGAGGTCCCAGGCCTGCTGTGTGAATGCTACTCTGCACAGACCCAGTTCCCATAACACATGTAATCATGTTCAGGAGATCCAAGCATGTCCTTCTCAAAGCTCAGTAGAAGTTCCCCAAGTGGAACTCAGCAGGACAGCACACACAGGCTGATGCCCTGGGCTGGGGAAGAAAGGTTAGTGCTGACCACCTGGGGTCCAGACTCCCTGGCTGGTGTGTTGCTCTAGGGAAAGAAAATAAAAGTGGGACTGTAATTTAAGAAAAGAATTGCCTTGGGGCCTGGGACTAAGGTCCTTGTAGTCTGGGCAGGGCCCCATGCCCGCTAAAGGCAGCACTAGAGTGGACCAGTCAGTGCCATTGGGGCTGAGCATATTAAGCAGTCAATAGCGACACCGCATGGTCAGAAGAAGGAACAGCACCCATGGACAGGAACCCCTGCCCTCTGCTTGGTATTTGGAAGCAGTCCCCCAACTGTGGACTCCAACAATTTGAAGGGGAAATAGTGGGCAAGTTTTGGTTAATTTTTTTGTTTTATTTGAGACAGGACTACGTAGTACTGGCTGACCTGAAACCCCCTATGTAGACCAGGCTGACCTCAAACTGCCTGCCTCTCAGTCTCTGGAGCACAAGGATTGAAGGTGTGTGCCACCATGACTGGCCTTTGGTTAATTTTTTTAGGAAGTTTTTTATTTTAATTTTTCAGTGCTGGGGACAGGACCCAGGGTCTTGTACATAGTGGACAAATGCTGTACCACTGAGTTAAATCCCCAACCCTACTGGTCAGGTTTTGAGTGTAGCAGTAGATACAGTTGAAATGTATTATGGCTACATCGTCAGTATTTCTTTGTGGTCCCAATTATTTAAGTGTATGCTCATGTGTATGCGTGAGAAAAAAACATATCCTCCAACATTTCCACAGGAGTTAACTCTGCGGTCACAGAACAATGAGTTTTTATTTCTTCTGCGTATTTTTACGCATATCCTGTAACAAAACCAAATTGCCTTTGTAACATGATGAAAACTAACACATTTTTTATGTGTAACCGAAAAGGAAAATACCAACATATTTAAAGGGAGATTGGATATGAGATTACGAATGACCTTTTTTTTTTTTTTGGTCTTTTTGAGACAGGGCCTCCCTGTAGCCGCAGCTGTCCTGGAACTTGGAACTCACTATGTAGACCAGGCTGGCCTTGAACTCACAGAGATCTGCCTGCCTCTGCCTCCCAAGTTCTGGGATTAAAGGCGCGTGCCACCACACCCGGCCAAGAATGACCTTTTTAACTGGTCATGGTGGTGCATGTCTTTAATCCAAGCATTCAGGAGGCAGAGGCAAGCAGATCTCTGTGAGTTCTAGGCTGGCCTGGTCTACTTAGCAACTTCCATCCAGTCAGGGTAGGGCTACATGGTGTGGCCCTATCTCAAAAAGAAAAAAGGAAGAAGGAAGGAAGGAAGGAAGGAAGGAAGGAAGGAAGGAAGGAGGGAAGGAAGGAAGGAAGGAGGAAGGAAGGAAGGAAGGAAGGAGGGAGGGAAGGAGGAAGGAAGGAGGAAGGAAGGAAGGAAGGGGAGGGGAAGGAAGGGAAAGGAAGGAAGAAGGAAAGAGAAAAGACTCTTTTTATCCAGGTGTGGGGGTGTATACCTGTAATCCTAGTACTAGGGAAGTAGAAGCAAGGGTGTTGTGAATTCAAGGCCAGCCTGTGCTGCATAGCAAGCTACTGTATTTAAAAAGGGTGGGGGAGGAGCTGGAGAGAGATGGCTCAGCAGTTAAGAGCACTGGCTGCTCTTGCAGAGGACACTGGTTTGGTTTCCAACCATTCATAACTCCAGTTCTAAGGGATCTGACGCCTTCTTCTGGCCTTTACAGGCATTGCACACGTGGGTGCACTTACATACATGCAGGTAATACATTCATATACATAAAATAAAAATTTCAAACCACCTTCCCCTTAGCTTATGTTCTTTCCAAATAATTCACATTAACCTTCCACCAGGACAAAAGATAAGTTTAAAGATTAGCAGGGGGGTAAAGGTACCTGCCGCCAAGCCTGACAACCTGAGTTCATCCCTGGGCCCACACAGACTAGAAGGAGAACCAACACTTGCAAGTTGTCCTCTGACCTCCACAAACATGTGTATGTGCACATGCACACATGAATACACACACACACACACACACACACATATTCAATAAACTAATTGAATGTTTAAAAGAATTAAAACTAAAAAATTAAATCAGATATTTGGGTGAAGGTTGGATTGATAGGTGAAGGAGAGAGGGAAGGGGGAGGACTGTGTGGGCAGAGACTCTGTGACAAGAGCTCAAGCTGACTATTAAGCTTTGAGCCTGAAATGTCCCCCACCAGTTCAAGCCCTGGGAAGTGTTGAATGCTTGGGCTGATTTGGGGAGGCTGTGGAATCTTCAGGAGGTGGGGCTTTAACAGGCAGAAGCAGGTAGCTAGAAACAGGTCTTTCAAGGCTGTGCCCACCCGGATCCCTGACTTACTGTGTGCTCCATGGTCTACTGAGGGGTGAGCAGCCTCCATCACACATTCCAGCTGCTATGAACAATGAACAATGTGCCATGCCCTTCCACTCCACGAAGAACTGAAACCCTCCAAAATCATGAGTCAAAATAAATCTCCCCAAGTTGTTCTATCAGGTATTGTCACCATTGTGACAGTAATGTTGATTGTGGAGAGTGATGGCTTGATCATCCATGGAGATGTGCATGATGAGGGTAAAGGTTGGGACAGGGAGAGCCATGGCTAGTGGGCCAGCAGGAGCCCCTAAAAGGGAAGACAGAGAGAAGGCAACCTTCAGGGACAGAGGGGAGGGTCTCCTGGGAGCAGGTAACCCGAGGGGCCAGCCAAGGAAGCCCAAAGCACAGCTGGGGGTTATGTGACTTGGGGTGAAGGTGTGAGGAGACGAAGGCAGCAGGCAGGAGTCCCAGGGATGCTGGGGTTTGCCTGCAAAAGGTGACAGAAAGAACAGGCCAGGAATAGGGCCAGTGATAAGGGTGTGGACACTTGGACATAGTTCCTGGGTTAGGAAGAATTATAGCTCATGAAAGGAGGTGAGGATCAGAGGTTGCAAAGGTGGAAATGACTGCATTATGGGTGGGGCATGGAAGAGGCAGGGAACACAGGCAAGCAGCCTGCTGGGGTGCGGGGGGACGAAAGACACCTCTGTGAATCTGATTTGAGACAATGACCCAAGAGGAAACAGGCACACATATCTATTGATGGAGACAGGAACCCTTCCATCCAGACAGGCAAAACCCCCATGAATTCTTCTGATGAGTCAATAGAACAGGAAGCTAAGGTGCAAGATGTACAGGGGGACAGTTAACTACCCCTGCCCCCTTACCTCTGGGCTCTTGGTCACTCCTGAATATTAGAAAAGGGTTTAAGTCCCCCAGAGAAAGTAGCAGTTGTCCCAACAAGGAGATCCTAGGTCCTGGGGACAAGGGTGTCTACAGGGGCATCAGCAGAGGGATGGAAGGAGGGACGGAGGGGCAGAGGAGTATGTACTGGGGTCTGAGGAGGGCTAGGCATGCCCTAGAGCACCCCTAGCACACAGTTGCTCCTTTGAGGCTGTGGAGGCTCAGAGGATGTATTAGTCACGTTTCTGTTGCTGTGATAGAAACACTGACCAAAACAATTTATAAAAGGAAGAGTTTATTTGAGCTTACGGCTCCAGGGGAATTACAGTCCGTCTTGGTGGGGAGGCATGGTGGCAGAGGTGGCTGGAGGAGGAGCAGAAGCTAAGCTCTACATCTTCCAGCAGGCACAGGAAACAAGAGAACAACTGGAGATCTGGCAAGGCTTAAGAACTCTCTAAGCCCATCCCCAGTGACGTGCTTCCTCCAGGATAGCCACACCTTCTAAGACCTCCCAAAACAGCGCCATCATCTGGGGACAAAATGTCCAAATACTTGGAGCCTATGGGGGACATTCTCATTCAAACCACCACAGAGAAGCTCAGAAGGTTATGTAACCACCTAAGGTCACACAGCTGGTGGGTACTCACCAAGTCTGAGCTGATATGAGACAGTTCCCAAAGCCTCACACCTGGTCTGCCTAGCCCTGGCACCAACAGATGACAGATATTCCTCTGAGGTTTGTAGGGTTGGGGGCTCCACTCTGTTCAGTTACCTAAATCAGAAACTAGAGCTAGACTTGACCATCCTCCACCCTGTTCTCTTGCCACCGCTGAAGCCAGAAGATAGCAAAACCCAGAACTGATCATCCTCCCACATTACTCACAACCCAACCCCACAGCTATCTTCCGTTTGACCCCTTATGAAAACAGCCATCCCTTAGCCCTGCTCCCTTCTCTCCCGCTCTTGACTCATCAGCAGTGCCACCAAGCAGACCTGCTAAAGTCTGCTGGACATGAATACAGCGTTCTAAAAGGATTCCAGTGGCTGCATGGCTCCACCCTTGTTTAAGCATCACACCCTATTCCTGGTGTTCCTGCTCCTGCATGGCAGGGCACTGGTCTATGCTCAGACCTTCTTCCCTCACCCACTCCTCATGGACAGGTCCCAGGCCTGGCTACTTGTCTGTTCTCTAAGATCACCCAGACCTGAATGATCATAGAAGTGTCAGGAACTCACAGTGTGCTCAGGCCTAATTAGAATGTTATATGGGATCAAAGAACAGAACACAGGACTGGAGCAATGGCTCAGTGAGTGATTAAGAGCACTTGCTGCTCTTGCAGAGAATCCAAGTTCAGCTCCCAACACCTACATGAGGCAGCTCACAATCACCTGTAACTCCAATTCCAGGGGATCTGACACTCTATTCCGGCCTCCACAGGCATCGCATGCATGTGGTACACTTATACACATGCAGGCAAAACACTCATGCACATAAAATACAAATAACTTTTTAAAACTAAATAGAGAATAAAGTATAAAAAAATGTAGCTCAGAGATCCCACTTAAGACCCACACACAACCAGGACTCCCCTCCCCCGAGTTGGGGGCTCTCAGTCCTGTGGTCTTCACACCCCAGTTCCCACTGCATCCAGATCCACAGGCCAGTACTTTTACACTAGCTTTTCTCTGAGGACTTGACACTGGGACACACTCCTCTTTCTTGCACTTTGCTCAAACAGCCTTCACAAACATCAGGAGCCAGGGAATTCAGAGCTGGAGAATTCTCCATAAGAGGTGTTTAAGCTTGTGAACTGTTTTAGTTCTAGGAGAACCTGTCACTGGGCCACCTACCCACAGCTTCACCGAACAGTCGTGGGAGCCGCTGAGGAGCTTTGTGTCGTTCACACAGAAGTGGCAGGAACTCACTGGGTGCCTGTGCCCAATTAGAATTTTATATGGGATCTAAACAAAGGGAAGAACAAAACCAGCTCAACAGTGTTGCAGGACACGGGTCAATATATAAATATCAACTGTATTTCAAAACTCTTACTATGAGCGATCTGAAACAAAATTAGGACAAAACCTTCCTTCACAAAAAGAATATGTAGGAATTAATTGTATAAAGCTTTTTAAAACATTTTATTATATTTATTTTATGTGTATGAGTGTATTGCCTGCATAAATGCAAGTGCACCCATGTCATGCAGTGTCCGAAGAGGTCAGAGGAAGGTGTTAGATTCCCCAGGAACTGGAGTTACAGATGGTTGTTAGCCACCATGTGGGTGCTAGGAATTGAATCCAGGTCCTCTGTAAGAGCAGTCAGTGCTCTTAACTACTGAGCCATCTCTAAAGCCCCTAATTGTATAAAACTTATACTTTGAAAATAGTAAGATATTATCAAAAGAAATTGAAGATGATCTAAAGAAACGGAAAAAGTCTTATGTTCATAGATGGGAAGTGCAATATTGTTGAAATGGCAAAGCTCTCCAAAGTGATCTACAAATTCTGCACCACTAAGATGATTTCTTTGTAGAAACTGACAAGTTGATCTTAAAGCTTATATGAAAATTCAAGAAGACCCAGATTGTGGGCCAGTGTGATAGCTTAGAGAGTAAAGGTGCTTGCCACCAAAACTGAAGACCCGAGTTTGATCTCTGGGACCCACATGAGGGAAGGAGAGAACTGATACCCACAAGTCTACATGCACACCATGGCACAGATGCATATGCACACACATAAATAAATTATTAATAATAAATAAATAAGGCAGAGAGAGACCCAAGTTAGAAAAACAATCTTTAAAAAGAACAAAAATAGAGGGCTCACACTGTAATAATAATAAAGATAAAAGTATTATTATAAATTAATGAAATATAATTGATTATCCAGAGAGAAACACTCATATGTAGAGTCAACTAATTTTTATATGGGTACCAAAACAAATAAAAAAGACACAGGGCTGAAGAGATGGCTCAGTCAGTAAAGGGCTTGCCACACAAGCATGAGGACCTGGTTAGAGCTCCGGAACTCACATAAAACCTGGGTATGAGGGCTGGAGAGATGGCTCATTAATTAAGAGCACTGCTTGCTCTTGCAGAGGACCCAGGTTTGATTCCCAGTACTCACATGGCAGCTAACAATTGTCTGTAACTCCAGTTCCAGGGGATCCAATGCCTTCTTCTCACCTCCATGGGCTTTGCCCAACACAGATGCACTTACATACATACAGGCAATGCATTCATATACATAAAATAAAAATAATAAATAAAATATTTAAAAAATAATAAATAATAAAAATAACTTAAAAATTAAAGAGCTGGTGTGGTGGTACACATGTTTAAGCCCAGCAGAGGCAGGCAAATCTCTGTGAGGCCAGCCAGAGCTACATGGTGAGACCCTGTCTCAAAAAATTAGTCAGGTATGGTGGTACACACCTTTAATCCCAGCACTCAGGAGGCAGAGGCAGAAGGATCTCTGTGAGATGGAGGTCAGTCTGGTCCACATAGCAAGTTTCAGGCCAGCTGGGGCTACAAGGAGACCTTGTCTCAAAAAACAAAAAAAGCAACAACAACAACAACAACAAAAGGTCAGGCTTAATCTCAGCACTGGAGAGGCAGAGGCAGGCAGATCTCTGTGAGTTCAAGGCCAGCCTGGTCTACATAGTGAGTTCCAGGCCAGCTGGAGTTGCAGGGAGACCCTGTCTCAAAAAGACCAAACCAAAAAAATTTAATTCAAAACATTTGTGCTTCATAGGATACCATCAAAAAAGTGAAAAGCCATGTAACAGGGACTTTTTTTGCAAATTACATATCTGATATGGGGCTTCTACTTAGAATACATAAAAGAACTCTCATAATTCAACAATGAATCACAACAAAATGTTATTTTATTTTATTCTTTGTCTCATGTATATGCATGTGTGTATGCATAGTCACATGCGGGTCGGTGCACATGCACATATATGCCTATGTATGTAAAGGCTGGAGACTGATGTCAGGAATCTTCTGCAATGCTCTCCATTGTATTCTTTGAGGCAGGATCTCTCCATCAATCACAGAGCTCACAGATTCGGCTAGTATCACTAGCTGGCTTGATCTGGGGATCCCCTCTCTTTGAGGCTGAAATTTAAGTGGGCCACTGCACCCACTGAGCATTTACATGAGCTCTGGGAACCCAAATTCCAGCCATTCTGCTTGTGTAGCAAGCACTTTAACCACTGAGCTGTCTCCAAGCCTCCATTTTATATTTTTGTAGCCCAGGCTGGCCTCAAATTTGCTTCATAGTTGAGGATAATCTTGAGTTTCTTTTATTTATTTATTCTACATTTATTTAACATGTGTATGGGGGCGTGCATGCCATGGTGCAAATGTAGAGGTCAGAGGCCAACTTGCGGGAGTCAGTTCTCTCCTTTTACCTCGTGGGTTCCAGGGATCCAGCTCATGTCATTAGGCTTGGTGGCAAGCACCCTTACTTGTTGAGACATCTCTTAGACCCAACCTTGAGGTTCTGATCCTGGAATTTTGGGCATGCACCACCATGCACTGGTCTACCAGTGCTGGGGATTGAACCCAGGCCCTTGTGAATGCTAGCCAAGCACTCTCCCAACTGAGCTACACCCTCAGCCTATAAACAACCAAATTTTAAAATGGTCAAAGACCAGAAAAGGCATTTCTCCACACATATACAAGTGGTTGATAGAACATGAAGAGACTGTCAGCATCCTTAGCCATCAGCAAATGCAAATGACAGCCGTAGGGTGATACTATGTCATATTCATTATAGTGGCTTAATCAGTATGGAGGAGGTTGTGGAAAAGATTAGAAGTCTCATACATTGCTAATGGGAATGTAAAAATGTGCAGCCACGTGTGGCAATTTAACTGTGGGTGCTGGAGAGATGTCTCAGTAGTTAAGAGCACTTGCTGCTCTTCTATAGGACCTGAGTTCAGTTCCAAGCACCCATGTTTGGCAGTTCACAATCACCTATGCATGGCATGCACACACACACACACACACACACACACACACACACAAATAAATAAAAATGAAATAAATATTTTCTTTTTAAAGTTAAACATGAGCACTGGGCATGGTGGTATACACCTTTAATCCCAGCACTCAGGAGGCAAGAGGCAGGTGGATCTCTGTGAGATGGAGGCCAACCTAGTCTACATAGTGTGTTCCAGGCCAGTCGGGGCTACAGGGAGATCCTGACTTTAAAAAAAAAAAAAAAAAAAAGGGGAGCTGGAGAGATGGCTCGGCAGTTAAGAGCACTGGCTGTTCTTGCAGAGGACCTGGGTTCAATTCCCAGCACCCACATGGTGGCTAACTGTCTGTAACTCCAATTCCAGGAGAATCTGACACCCTCCTCTGACCTCTGCAAGCACCGTATGACACAGCTGCACTTACATACATGCAGGCAATATGCTTGTACACATAAAATAAAAATAATACAAAGTATAAATAAAAGAAAGTTAAACATGTGAATTAATAAAACCAAGATATTTTACATCCAGGTATATACCTCAGAAAAATTAAAGTAGCCACACAAAAACCTGTGTTTATGCAAGGAATGTTCATGGCAGCATTATTCAGGCCTCCATCAGCTGACAAATAAATACACAAAATGCCTTAGCCATAAAAGGGACTATTTTTTAAAATTTCTTTTTTTTTTTTTTGGTTTTTTTGAGTCAGGGTCTCCCTGTGGCCCCAGCTGTCCTGGAACTCACCATGTAGACCAGGCTGGCCTCGAACTCACAGAGATCCACCTGCCCCTGCCTCCCAAGTGCTGGGATTAAAAGTGTGCGCCACCACACCCAGCTGATTTATTTATTTTTATGTGTACCATTGTTTTGCCTGCATGTATGTATGTGTAACATGTTCATGCAGTGTCTGTGTCAGCCAGAAGAGGACATCGGATGCCCTAGAAATGTAGTTAAGGATGGTTGTGAGTCACCATGTGGGTGCTGGGCACTGAACCCAGGTCCTCCGCATGAGCAGCCAGTGCTCTTACCTACTGAGCCATCTCTCCAGTCCCATACAATATACTATTATTTGGCAATTAGAAGGAGTGAAGCACTGATAGATGTTACAATGTGGATGAACCTTGAAAACATGCTAAGGAAAAGAAGCCATCACACACACACACACACACACACACACACACACACACACACACACACCACACAGACAAAGCACTAGATTTTATTGCTATGAAAGGTCTAGAATAGGTGAACCCAGAGACAGAAAATAGACTGGTGGCTGCCTAGAGTTGAGGGGATGCGTTGTGAGAAGTGACTGTTACTTGGTACCAGCTTCTTTAAGGGGTGATGGAAACCTTCTAAAATTGATTGTGGTGATGGCTGCACAACATAAAGACCATTATTCAATATATGCTTTACATCATTGGCTTATATGATATGCCAATTATGTATGAATAAAGCTGAAAACCAAAGGTGCAAACATCCCACCTCTTCCCCAGCTTCTCCTCACAACTATGAAATCAGGAGGTAGCGGGAGAGGGGTGGACGCTGTGTTAACTGGGCCTGAGGGAACTGAGGAGAGGAGACAAGGGCTGGTGCTATGCTTCCAGTGAGGTGTGGATGGATGAAGTCTGAGGTGCTGAGTGGCACAGTGTTGTAGGTGACTCGGTGTTGTGTAGCAGTGCATGGGTAAGGGAATGTGAGGTTATCCTTGGGGACCCAGGTGATTCCCACCTGCACGTTCCGCCACCAGCCTGGCCCCACTCGAAGCGCAAGCATCCAGCCCATCCTCCAGGGGCGCTGCACAGGTGGCTGAGCCTTTGCCCCCTGGAGGCAGCAGGCGGGAAGGCGCAGAGGGAACTCCAGGGTTTCACCAAAAGAGGCTGGCGAGACCAGCTGGGTCCCCGGGGAATCGCTTCCTTCCCCACCCACGCATGGCTCTGACCTTGGAGAGAGGCTGGTGGTCGCCCCAGAATCTCTTCACTGGTGTCTTGTGCTTCATACATGGCAGGGCTGGCCTTTCCAAGGACAGGGGGTCGTGGGTGGCCAGCAGACGGTCCCGGCGGATTTCCGGGAGCGCCAACTTGAAGCGGCCCAAGGCTCTCAGCAGGGTGACCCAGGGCACCTCGCTGGGTTTCACACTGGAAGGGATGGTGGACAGACTACCCTGGTCCTCAGCCGAACCCCTCCACTCCTCGACAGAAGCCCTCCTGGCCTCAGCCGAACCCGTCCTGGCAAAACTTTTCTTCTTGGCCTCTCCAGAACCTTTCGTGGTCTCTCCTGAACCCTTCCTGACCTCTGCAGAGCCTTTCCTGTCCTGACTCGAGGTTTTCTGATCCGACGGAGAGGAGGCCATCTCAGAGCCTGACCTGCGGGGACCGGTGGTGCCACGCGCCCACACGGGTGTCCGGCCCTCTGGATCCACGTGCAGTGCTGGGCTGTGCCATCTACCTGCCCCCTTTCTGGTAAGTAAAAGGCAAAGGCGCCCCTTGTTTTACCCCAGAAAAATGATCCCTGGCATTTCGGGCACAAGAGGAAAGTGACTGAGGTACAAACCAGGGACCCCATCCTCGTGCCTCCCTGGCTCCCTCATGGGTCAATTTCTGTGTCCTTTGCCTGCAGTAAGGGCTCAAAGCACACCCCTTCATGCCTGCTAACAAACGGTCTAGAAATTAGGGAATGGCCCGGATGAAACAGGATGTAGACTTGGGGGGCCAGGGTCAGAGTTATAAACATTTAAGGGAAAGATTTGTCAGTGCCAATGACAGTTACAGAGAAAACGCTGCGGTTGGCCAGCGAAAAAAGACTGAACGGAATTACTGTAAAGCAGTAAGGATTCTCGTGTCTGGTGGTAAAACGAGATAGGGTTTTCTTTTCTCCTTTTGAAGTGGTTCTGTTTCACTCTGTAATGGCCTCAGGTCTTTGCATGGTTTTCCCCCTCAAGGTGCTAGGGATGAAATCAGAACCTTCCTCATGCCAGGCAAATGTTTGCCACTGAGCTACGCACCGTTTTCAGAGGGTAGGACCAGGCTGAGGAGCATTCACCAACCCAGTCTGCCCGCTGGGTTCCAGGTCACCGCCAGGCAGGGGACCACCTCCCTCGCCCACCCCTTACTGAGTCTCGACTGTCCTTTCCCTACTGTACTCAGCTCTCTTCATAACAAAACCAGGGAAAAGCCTTCACTTTTCATTTCTTTTTAAAATTACCAGGAAATTTAAAAATAAATCAAGGAGAACATAGAAAAATGCCACTTTAATTAAACTGTTCAGCCCCCCCATGAACTGACTGAAGTCAAAAATAGAAATCAATTTCTGAAACCTTTCAGGGCAGTCTTTGAAATGTCAAGGTTTTAAAAATCATTTTACAGCAGGAATTTACATATAAATACAATTTGTACAATGTCTGAACTGGGCAATCAATGGACTTCCATCACGGAGGACATTCACTACTGAGAGGCCAGGGCAGGATTCAATTACTGCTTCCTTAGCGGGAAACATTTCAGTCTGAAAAAAAAAAAAACCAGGAAAGAGAAGGAAATTAGACATAGAGTTAAGTAAACACCAAATGGTTCCACTGAGCCACATCCTAGCCCTTAATACAGGCTTCAGAATGTAGCCCAGGCTGGCCTCAAACTCATGGCAATTTTCCTGCCTTGGCTTCTCAAGGGCTGGGATTATAGGTATCAGTCACCATTCCTGGCCTTAATCCTTATTTTATTTTTTAAGGTTCGTTTTTATTATTTTAAAATTATGTGTATATGTGTGGGGACCTAAAGGCCCCACCTTGCATAGGTCCCAGAGGAAGTTACTGGGGGCATGGCCTGGCTTTCTTTGAAAGTCTGAAGAATACTTCGGCACTGCTGGGGGGGGGGTGCGTGATAAGCACATGACCATCCTTAAGATACACCCTCAAGGGGGGGAGGGGGGATTTCCAGGTGCCTGTATAAGCTCCGCAACACCTGCAATAAATGAGTCCCTGCTTGACTAGACTCCCCGTTGCACCTGAGTGTTCCCGGTATTGGGGGTGGCATGGGCTGGTGAACGGCGTGCTTACTCATCCCCAATCATCATTGTGCAGGGGTCTCTGGTTCGAACCCCCTCCCCCACCCCCGGCATGTATGTGTGTTGTCTGTGGGTGAGTAAGTACACATGAGTGCAGGTGCCCCGAGAGCCCAGAATAGGAAATCCAATCCATTGAAGCTGGAGTTAACTCTTAACCACTAAGCATCTTAATCCTTATTTCAAACTGCTTCTTCTGTTACCTCTAAAGCACACGGTGAGACCTGTTATCCCACATTTCACATCAGGACCAATCTCTAACAGCAACATCTGATCCCAGTTTCAAATATTCGCTGCATTTGTCATATGACCTTTAGAAAGGAATCTCAATGCATATATACCAGAGAGCGCATGCTGGGCATGGTGGTACACACCTTGAATCCCAGCACTCAGGAGGTTGAGATAAAACATACACATGCACGTACACACACAAACAAGGGGGAGAAAAGAAAAAAAGGAAGTTCATGGTTGCTCTACTCAGAGCAGAACTGCATCACTCTATGGAGAAAACCAAACCACAGAACAGGCAACACACCACAGCTTGTTTTCATTTGCAGAAAGGAATCCTGCACAGCCCTGTAGACCAACCGGCTGCTGCCTAGATGACAGAAGACTCTCCCAAGCCAAGCACAGACAGCCCATATAACGTGACTCCACAGGACTGGGTACATATCTCAGTGGTAGAGTACACATGAGGCCCTGGGTTCAGTCCCCAGCATTTCAACAGAAAACAAAACAACAACTGAGTGAAACATGATTCCTTTAAATATAATTCAAAATTAGCAGGAGCTGGGCATAATGATAGACACAGTCCTAACAATCAGGGGGCTAATGGAGGAGGACTGTGAATTTGAGGCCAACCTGAGCTAAAATAGTGAGACACCATCTCAAAAAAGGAAAGAAAAAGGCTGACGAAATGGCTCTGTGGTAAAGGCACTGCTGCCAAGCCTGATGACCTGAATTTGAGCCCTAGAACCCATATGGTAGAAGAAAACCGACTCCCACAAATTGTCCTTTGACTTTCATATGCACGCCATGGCACACACACACGCACACACACCCCAAACAAATTAAATAAATAAATAAATGAGGAAAAAAGGAACAAGAAAATTAGCGACAGTGATCCGTAGTGTCAGACTCTGAACTCCCGTTCCTCCTGTCTCCATCTCCCAAGTGGAGATTCCAGGCCTGCTGCATCACACCCAGCTACGTTTCTCATCAGTTGTTTTATGTGCCAATCAGCACACAGCCACCTGCCTGTTTTCTGACCGCTGCACAGTACTCTTGTGTATCCTACCACATTCTCCTGATGAGCACTGACGGGCTTCCATCTACATGTTCCTTCACAGATTGACCTGCCAGGAAGGGCCCAGTGCTGGCCATGGATGATGATATAAACCAGGATTAGTGCCTCACACTTGGAACCCTAGTATTCTGGAGGCAAAAGCAGGAGGCTCACCATGGGTTTCAGGCCAGCCTGAGCTAAATTAGTGTATTCCAGGACAGCCCAGCTTACAGAATGAGACTGGGCTCAAAACAAACAAGCAAACTGAATGAATGAATGAATGAATGAATGGTTACCAAATATGCGTGAGGTTAATCTTGTTAACCTGAGTGGATTTAGAATCACCTATGAGACACACCTTTGGGCCTGTCTGTGAGAGTGTGTCCAGAAAGGTTTAACTGACATCTACCCTGGATGTGGGCAGCAACATTCCATGGGTTGGGGTCCCAGACTGAACAAAAAGAGAAAGAGGAAGAAGCCAGCTGAGTACCAGCATTCTCTCTGCTACCTGATCCACTTACATGTGATGGTCATGTCTGCCCCTCCATGATGATTGCTTCCTCGGACGGTGATCCAAAACAAGCCCTTCCTCCCTTAATTTGATTTCTGTCAGTTATTTTGTCAAGCAACAAGAAGGTACAGAAAATTGCTACCAAAGAGTTGGGCTCCTGACCACTTGGGAGAGTTTAGAACTGAGGGCCAGAGAAGTTCTAGAGTGCTATAAGTAGAGCTTAGTAGGCCATCTGGTGGAGGTCCAGGAAACCAGGGTGCAAACAGAAAGGCAGGACAGTAAGGACTGTGTTCACAACCCTGAGAGGGGAACAAGAACTAGCCTAGAGGCAACTGATGTTTCTGCATCCCAGCAAAAAAGAATATGGCTGCTTTCACTGAGCCCCTGAAGATGTGAGTGAGGTTAAGTTCACAGGGATAAATTCACTAAGATATTTGGAAAAGGAAATTTTAAGACAGTGTACCATCCAGGCTGTGGTATGGTTGGTACTCACTGCTCTTGGTCAGTGAGAAAGAGCAGAAATATAGGGGAAATGTACAGTTTGGCAAAGAAACGAGCATTCACTAGTTAAAAGTTGTAGACAAGGGAGCCAGTGTGGAGGCACATGGCTCTAAGTCCCAGCACTCGGGAGGCAGAGGCAAGTAGAGCTCTGTGAGATCGAGGCCAGCCTGGTCTACGTAGTGAGTTTCAGGCCACCCGGGGCTACAGAAAGACCCTGCTTCAAAAGGATTTTTTAAAAAGTTGTAGACAAGGCTGGTGGGGAGAAAGCTCTATAACTGTTGGAGATAAGGGATATTAAGGATATGTTTGGATATCAAGTTGACATGGGGTGGACTGGTAATGATTAATCACTGTCAACTTGACTGCATTTGAAATTACTCAGGAGACACCTATCTATGAAGGTGTTTCCAGAGAAGTTTAACGGAGAAGGAAAAACCCAGCCTGAATGTGGGCGGCACCATCCTATGAACTGGGTTCCTGGACTGATTAATAAAGAAGGAACACAGCTGTGAGCACCAGCATTCATCACTCTTTGCTCCCTGATGATGCTCTAGATGTGACCAAGCAGTTTCCTGGCATCATACCTTCCCCACCACGATGGACTGCACCCGCAAGATATAAAATAAAAACTATAAAATAAGCCCTTTCTCCCTTAAGTTGCTTTCTGCCAGGTATGTTGTCACAGCAATGAGAAAGGTAACTAATAAAATGAGCTTGCCAAGGGACAATCTCCATGTCTGCTTTCCTCATCTATGGCCATGGGTGGCACGGTACGGTCCTCACAGGGTGGGGAGAGGGGGTGAGTTAGCAGCATGGTGTGCCTACAAAGTGCCTCCTGTGCCTGTCAGCACTCATATAGAAAAGGAAAGAGAACCAGAAATGAGCACAGCCACAACAGGGACTCCGGCCTAACCTGAAATGTTCATAGCCTTTGTGCCTCTGGACCAGGAGAATGGATTGTCTAAAGACAGAACAAAAAGGGCATACTGGTCTTTCCAGACAGAAGCTAGACAGACATGGTAAATAGACCTGGTAGGCCGGAAAGTACATGACTAAGAGATCAGACTAGCAAATCTATAGAGGCACAGGGATTTGGAAGAGGACCATGTCACCCTGCCCTTAATGAGATACCTGAGTGGGAAGGCAGGTGGCCAGGACTCACTCCTATGTTTCCTCCTTTATCCTGGGCCCAGGGCTGAGCTGTCCCTCCCAGTTCTGAGATGGTAGTGGCCAGGAAGTTGCTTTGGCCCATGGGCTGGGTGGAAATGAAGATAAGGGTTCCAGGCAGGACAAGGTCAACCTTCAGCACCATCTTTGAACCCACTCCCTCCATGAAGGCATGGTGTTGTACACCTTTAATCCTGGGACTCAGGAAGCAGACGCAGGTGGAGCTCTATGAGTTCGAGGCTAGCCTGGTCTACATAGCAAGTTCCAGGCCAGCAGGGGCTACAGGGAGACTCTGTCTCAAATATACCATTAAAAAAAAAAAAAAAATCAGTCCCTTGGTGAGCTCTTCTTCCATCAGGCCCCTGGCTTGGGGTGCCTACCTTCCCCATGGCCAGCCACCTGGCTTCAGACTTCCCCTTCTCGCCCCCACCACCAGGGACAGGAGGGCTGGAGCCGGGCTGGGTGGACCCTCCGACCTGGCTAAGCTTCCAAGGCTCTCTGGGTGGGCCTGGAATTGGGCCTGCAGTTGAGCCAGGCTCAGAGGTGTGGGGGATCTCCCCATGTCCTCCACCTTATGAGTTCTGTGGAGGGATGGCATACTGTGGACCTCAGGTTGGAGTGGGCCTAGTGCCCCAAGTCGGCCTGGAGACCTTGCAGCCGGAGGGCCAGGCAGGAGCCGGAATGGAGAACAAGTTGGAGGGGGGCCTCCCCAGGGCCCTGCACTGCCCTCCCAGGTGCTATGAAACTGGAGAGAAGGTGGAGCCAACCCCAGAGGAGTCCCAGGACATGAAAGCTTTGCAGAAGGAATTGGAGCAGTTTGCCAAGCTGCTGAAGCAGAAGAGGATCACACTGGGGTACACCCAGGCTGATGTGGGGCTCACCCTGGGTGTTCTCTTTGGAAAGGTTCAACCAGACGACCATCTGCAGCTTTGAGGCTCTGCAGCTCAGTTTCAAGAACATGTGTAAGCTGTGGCCCCTGCTGCAGAAGTGGGTGGAGGAAGCTGACAGTGAGAACCTTCAGGAGATATGCAAAGCGGAGACCCTAGTGCAGGCCCACAAGAGGAAGCGAACTAGCATCGCCTGGAGAGCTTGTTTCTGCAGTAACTGAAGCCCACGCTGCAGCAGATCAGCCTCATCGCTGAGCAGCTTGGGCTGGAGAAGGACGTGGTCCAAGTGTGGTCCTGTAACCGGCGCCAGAAGGGCAAACGATCCAGTGTTGACTGCTCCCAGCGAGGCTGCAGGCTCTCCGTTCCCAGGGGGGGGGTCTGTATCCTTTCCTTTGCCGGCTCTGCAGCTCAGTTTCAAGAACATGTGTAAGCTGTGGCCCCTGCTGCAGAAGTGGGTGGAGGAAGCTGACAGTGAGAACCTTCAGGAGATATGCAAAGCAGAGACCCTAGTGCAGGCCCACAAGAGGAAGCGAACTAGCATCGCCTGGAGATCTTGTTTCTGCAGTAACTGAAGCCCACGCTGCAGCAGATCAGCCTCATCGCTGAGCAGCTTGGGCTGGAGAAGGACGTGGTCCAAGTGTGGTCCTGTAACCGGCGCCAGAAGGGCAAACGATCCAGTGTTGACTGCTCCCAGCGAGGCTGCAGGCTCTCCGTTCCCAGGGGGGGGGTCTGTATCCTTTCCTTTGCCCCCAGGGCCCCATTTTGGTACCCCAGGCTATGGGAGTCCCCACTTCACCACACTCTACTCTCCCGTCCCTTTTCCTGAGGGTGAAGCCTTTCCCCCCGTCCCTGTCACCACTCTGGGCTCTCCGATGCCCATCTCAAACTGAGACGCCTGCCCCACTGTAGTTTGGGGGATTAGATTCTTTATTTGCTAAGGAGGGGCTGAGAGCACATGGGGTGGGCAGGAAGTGTTGGGGGTGGTTGGAGGAAAGATGACGGGTTTTAATGGTGCTCTTGAGTATCAGCCCTACATTAATCATCACTTTCTTGAATAAAGAAGTCTGGGACACACACAAAAAAAACATGTACAGCAACATGTATATCATTGTATATATGTATGTGTGTGGTTATGCAAAAGAAGCCCCAAAAGTTAATAGGAAACTGACAGTGTAAGTAATGTGGAAAAAGGAGAAGCTTGGGGAATCACTCAAGGGCCCACTTAAGCTTTATCTGTCCAGTCTGAATTTTCATAATCTATTCACATGCTTGATGAAATGAAATATTAAAACATAAATTGTGGGGCTAGAGAGATGGCTTGGTGGGTAAGAGCACTGGCTGCTCTTGCAAAGGACCCGAGTTTGATTTCCAGAACCCACAAGGTGGCTAACAGCCATCTGTAACTCCAGTTCCAGGGGAATCTGACACCCTCTTCTGACCTCCGAGGTCACTGCACAACAGGGGTGCACCTACATATACATAGGCAATCCACTCATACATATAGAATAAAAATACATAAAATATTAATTTTTAAATTATTTTTATGTGTATGAGTGGATTGCCTGCACGTATGTGAGTGCACCTGTGTCGTGCAATGCCAAGGAGGTCAGAAGAGGGCTTCAGATTCTCCTGGAATTGGAGTTAAGGATGGTTCGTAGCCGCCATGTGGGTGCTGGGAATTGAACTTGGGTCATCTGCAAGAACAGTTGGTGCTCTTAACTGCTGAGCCATCTCTCCAGCCCCTCATCTAGCCCCTATCCTCCCCCCTTGTTCCTCCCTCCCCCTGCTTTTGAGACAGTCTTACACCATGTGGCCCATACTGGTCTCAAATTTGACATCCTCCTGTCTCAGCCTCCCAAGTGCTGTAATGACAGGTGAACACCAACACCCCAGCCAGACTCTCATTCTCACACTGACCTCCAAGTGAGCGAGCACAGTAAGTACTGAAGAAGCCTTTACAGGCCTCAGAAAAGCCCACCCTTCTCCCACGGCCTACCGTCTCAGCAGTTCCCGGGGTGACAGGTCGGCTGTCTCTTCTTCGTCACTCCGGCTGTCACTGCTGTCACTACTCTCAGAACTACTTTTTTCTGGTTTCTTATTCTTTTGCTTACTTTTGTGTTTGTGTTTCTTGTGTTTCTTTTTCTGGAAAAAGAAGGGGAAAAAAGAGGGTCAGGAAGCAAGAGAAACAAATGGTGTTTTCCTTCCTGAGCTGATGAAGTGAAAATCTACCCCAAGGGCTGGTAAGACCACTCAGTTGGTAAAGCTCTTGCCACACAAGCAGAAGGACTCAACTTGGAGCTCCAGCGAGTATATAAAAAGCAGGGTGTGTTGGCACATGCCTACAATCCCAGCACTGGGAGGCAAAGAAGAGACTCCCTGCAGTTTGCTGGCCAGCCAGTCCAGCCAGTTGTCAAGCTCTATGTTCAGTGAGAGACCCTGTCTCAAAAGAAAAAAATGTGGAGAATGATTGAGGAATACACGTGACACTGACCTCTGGCCTACACACACACGTGCACATACATTTGCACACATGAACACACATACATACAGTTTGGCTCAGAAGTAGAGCACTTGTTTAGAATTTACCAGTGTGGGGCTGGGAGCATAGCTCAGCTTAGAATTTGCCTAAGAGGGGCCAGGGGCTTGGCTCAAAGGTAGGGCCTTAGCCTGTGTGAGGTCCTGGGCTCCTTCCCCCAGCAATGAAAAAGAAAAAAAGAACAAACCCCCACCTAAACCAGACATATGTTTGGTTGTTGGAATCATTAAGAAATAAAAAATAGGGGGCTAGAGAGATGGCTCAGTAGTTAAGAGCACTGCCTGTTCTTAGAAAGGACCCAGGTTCAATTCCAAGCACCCACAGGCAGCTAACAACTGTCTGTAACTCCAGTTCCACGGGATCCATTGCCTTCTTCTGACCTCCGTGGGCATTGCACAGCATGCTACACTTACATGCAGACAATACACTCATATACATAAAATAAAAATAATAAATAGAGGCGGGAGAAATGGCTCAGCAGTTAAGAACACTGGTTGTTCTTGTAGAAGACCTGGGTTTGAATCCCAGCACCCTGGGTTTGAATCCCAGCACCCACATGGCAGCTAACAACTCTCCGTAACTCCAGTCCCAGGGGATCTGACCGCCTCTTCTGTCCTCCCCCAGCATTGCACGATATGGGTGTACTTACCTACATGCAGGCAATACCCACACATAAAATAAAAATAAATAAAATTTAAAAAATAATAATTTTTTTTTAATTATAAGAAAAATACAAAAACAAAAAACCTTGTCATGTGGAGTACACTTTGGCCTAATGGTGACAACCAGAAGCCAAGGGCTGTGACAGGTTAACCATGCACACGTTGATCCCAATGCCTCAGCCTCCATCTTATGTGAACCTGACTAGCTTGTTGGGCACCTGTAAAACTCCATAGCAGGGCAAGTGTCTGGGAAAGGCCGAGAGAAGAAGCTGGCAGGTCAGTGCACGGCTGTCCCCCGGATAAGAAACCGAGTTTTCCAACACAGTTTGAATTCCCACTCCAAGCTCAGACCCCCTTGCCTCCTGTAGACCCTAGTAGAACTAATTCCTACGTATTCTCCTCTTAGACTGGGCCACACTGGGTACCCAACAATAACATGGGCCAGGTGACGGGTTAGAAGCTTCAAGACATGGATGACAAGGTAGGAGACAGTGACAGGGAAATGCGGCAACACTCAAGTTTCCTTCACTTCGAATAGCAAGCCATGGGCTAAGACCTCAATCCAATAACAATGAAGCGGCTGAGGCTGAGCACTTGCCTGAGGCCTTATGTTTACTCCCCAAGGGATGCGAAACAGAAAAACTTAAAAAGAAAAGACAAGTAATTAAGTGCTCAAAGGGGCTGGAGAGATGGCTCAGGGGTTAAGATCACCGGTTGTTCTTGCAGAAGACCGGGGTTCCAATCCCAGCACCCACATGGCAGCTAACAACTATCCGTAACTCCAGTTCCAGGGGATCCGACAGGCTTGTCTGTCCTCCGCAGGCATTACACGACACGGGTGCACTTACCTACATGCAGGCAATACACGCATACACATAAAATAAAAATAAAATATGAAAAAAAGAAGTGTTCAAAATACCTTCATTTTATATAGAATAATCAATAAATAGTTTTGTTATTTAATACTCAACCTTTACTGTAAGATACCTTAAATGCTTTTTTATATATTTTTAATCTTTATCGATTTAAAAGAAAAATTTTTTCAAGACAGCATCTTGCTAGGTAGCCCAGGCTGGCCTCAACCTTGCTATCCTCTTGCCTTAGCCACCCAAGTATGGAATCACAGGCACTTAGCTACACTCAGGACGCAGCAGGTCAGGCCCACGCCCGTGCACAGGAAACACTAACTTTCTCTCTCTTTCGTCTGTGTTCTTTCTTCATCTTGTGTTTTTCTTTGTTCTTTTTATGTTTCTCTCTCTGAGGTGTCTCGAGTTTCTGACGAGTATCTGAGGGAAAATAATTGTAAAGAAAGAGATGAGTGACAGGGAGAAAATGAAAACTGACCATTAACAAAGGAAGTTTCTAAATGAATGAACTGTGAGTCTGACGCAGATTGAAGGTTTAACACTGAGGCCAAATTCCTGCTTCACTGATAAACAAATGGACAGGCACAATAGCTAGCGAGCTCTAGTAGGAAGCTGCCAGAACCGCCTTCTGAGACCTATCTAACTCAATCAGAACTCCACCATTGCCCTATCTGTCGCATGACGCCAGATGAAGATAAAAATCAGACCAGATGACCACCAGGCCTTTGTAACTTAGCATAAAAGCAGAGACAGAAACTAAATCCTGGCTCTCTCATCAGCTCTGTGACCTTTGGTGTAACCTCTCCAGGCCTCCATTTCCTCATCTATAAACCGGGATACTATGAATCCTTGTACTCTTAGAAAAACGGAGGTGAGCTAGGACCAGATACATAAATCCATACCCTAGGATCTGGGAAATACATGTCGGCTCCTTACAGATACCACTCTTTCTTTAAAAAAAAAAAAAAAAAAAAAAAAAAAAAAAACATGCCTGTAATGCTAGCACTCAGGAAACAGGCAGGAGCATCAAGAGTTCGAGGCCAGCCAGGACTATAACATAGCAAGGCCCTTCACAAACAAAGCGTACAGAAAAATAATTGAAGAAGTTGCATGAGTTCAGATTCTCCACCTTGATTCAGAATCAAATGTTTTCATAAGTCACTAACTTGCAGTAGTAATAGAAGCAGCGCACGCCATTAAATCAACTTTTCCACATAAAGTTCTTGGATGTTTCAGAAATGCAGATATTTTCTAATCCCACATAACAAAAGTCTGTAATTTTTTAAATCTTGTTTGATTGATTTAGAGACTAGGTCTCACTGTGTAGGCTAGGCTGGCCTCGAACTCACAAGATCTGCCTGCCTTGGCCAAGTGCTGGCATAATTACTTAATTTTATAGTTAGTCAGATATTTCCAAATTTTACTTCCTTGCTCCCAAATTTTTTAATGCTAGTTTTTAAAAATCCATACTCCTATGGAACCCATGCATCAAACTGTTCTTTACTATTTTATGGGTATCAAGAACATTCTGAGAAATGTACATAAAGAAGCCTCAGAAAGCTCTAGTCTCCAAGCACTCAGTTTTAAAGCAAAGCTCTGAAGAACCACAGTGAGTGAGAAATACATCCACTAACACTTTTTCTAAGCTTTCTAGTTCTTCTCTGGCTTTCGATCATCTCTTTGGATGCTGAGTTAACCAACATACCAACATTTAGCCGTGGGTACTGGAGGAAACTACACAGTGGGCTATGAAATCATGGGCTATTGAACTATCTGGATCATAGTCTCACATATTTGTTAATCCAACCTTCAAAGACATGATAAAAACCAGTCTAAACATTTCCACAGGAAGCATTAGCATACAGTGGCTCTGTACAGAAGTTGTTAACAGATGCTGAGGAAGGGGGCGGACTCTCTCATACTGTTGAAAGAATTGGTTCATTTTATTTGCTATGTTAGCCAAACTACCAGAGGATCTTAAAATACTCTTTCATCCTGCATTTCCCTTCTATCTTTGCATCCTGGATTTTTACTTCTTTATTTCTGTAAGTGCCTTTTTATTTTTAAGATGGGGTCTTGCTGCACAGCTAGGCTAGCCTCAAACTTACACTCCTCCTGTCTGAGGGTCCTGAGTGTTGGGATGACAGCATGCCATCATGCCCAGCTCTGTAAATAAAATTTAAGATGCTCTGAAAAGGATAGGGCATTTATAGGTTCTGAAGCTATAAACAAACAACTATTATCAGGCCCTAAGTGGAGGCAACTGAAATCAGAAATAAACTTGTATGTGTGTGGGTGTCACATCAGATTAGACGGGTGGGAAGGACAAGGCTGTTAGCGCTGTCTCACTGCAGGGGAGACACATGGAGTGAGACTCACTGGGGCAGAAGACGGGAGGCAGCCTTGGGCCAAACTCTTCTCGTTCATCGATCTGTATCTTCTGAATTGGGAAGGGAGCTGCGGGCTCACAAGGCACTGGCTCAGCAGCTGAAAAACACCAGCATAGCAACGTCACCCATTGGCCCAGTAGCGAGTCTATCCAAACAGCGTGCTTTCTTCACTTTGCTGAAGTATCTTGACCAGTGCTGAGCAGAGTGGCGAACATGGAAAAGGCCACCTCTGCCTGTGGATGCTGGCACTGGAGGTCAGCTACATGAGACCACACATGATCACCTGCATGAAAGGTTGGAAAGATAGTTCATTCTGTAAATGCTTGCTATGCAAGCATGAGGCCCTGAGTTTGAGCCCCAGGACCCACATAAAAACCTGGGTGGGTTTATATGCATTTGTAATCCCAGTACTAGGACAAAGGAGAGATGGATCCCTGGGGCTTGCTAATAAGCCATCTAAGACAATTGGCAAGCCCCAGGTACCAGTGAGTGACCTTATCTCAAAAACTAAGGTGGGTGGCTCCTGAGGTAAGACACCCAAAACTGATCTCTGGCCCCTAACATACACATACACAGACACACACTGTATCTAGCTCTATCTGTGTGTGTGTGTGTGTGTGTGTGTGTGTGTGTAATGAAATTGACTTCTGTTTATCCTAGGGGTGTGTGTGTATGTAATGAAATTGACTTCTGATTATCCTAGGGGTGTGTGTGTGTGTGTGTGTGTGTGTGTGTAATGAAATTGACTTCTGTTTATCCTAGGGGTGTGTGTGTATGTAATGAAATTGACTTCTGATTATCCTAGGGGTGTGTGTGTGTGTGTGTGTGTGTGTGTGTATAATGAAACTGACTTCTGATTATCCTAGTTTAAGATTAAAAAG